GAAGGAGGATATGCAGAGGAGCACAGTGAAAGCAATAACTGCAGAGGGAAAGTTTCACATCTGTACCCCCAGGGTACTGCTATTCCCCAACTGCTTTCACCCAGCGTTACTTGATGCCCCACCAAGTTCTCAAGCACTGGGGGCATGGCTAATTACTCCAGGGCCTCAGTTACCTGAGACTTAGCTCCCAGGTGGGGTGGGGGGAGCTCACAGGCGGGAAGGTGCATTCACCCTCTGCTTTACCAACGACGGGGAGAATACTAATTACCGTAAATGTGACAGATCTGTCAGAAATAATAGACGTAAAATGCACCATGTAAACTGTGAAAAGCAAGTCTTTTTATTCTTGGACAATGTAAAAATTGCAGATTTTTTCATCAATATGGAAAACACAAAGATAATCTACATTGTGATAGTCACCAGAGCTGTTCACCAAATATTTCTAATTCTACTTCTGGGCACTCACCAACTGCCTTTGAGCTAGATGGGACCATGTGATTTGATGTAGTCATTGAGATGTGAACAAAGTGACAAGTCACTTCCAGATGGAAGCTTTAAGAACCAGGGTACAATTTAGCATGTTCCCCCTGCCCCTCCCCCCCCGTTTTTTTTGCCTCCAAGAGCATGGAGAATGGAGGCTCCCTCAACCTGGGTCCCTGATGAAGAGCAGCGCCCCCTGCTGACATATGATGGATATGTTCCAGGAGGGAGAAGGATAGCTTTGTGATTTAAGGGTGCGGGTGATGTATGTTACTGCATCTCATCCTGGTCTCTCCTGATTCTTATGGGTAATTCACCAATGTGCCCATCATCCAGTGAAGACACCACATCCAAGTATTCAATGCCCCTCCACCACCAAGCGTGTTGGATGATCAAGGTTGCCCTGATTGGGTGTGTCACATACAGGATGGTGCACCATTAGCTGTAGTACAGTCAAAGCTTTGCTACGAAGACCCCAGGCAAAAGGACCTTCACAGAGCAGCTGAGGGAAGAAGGGAAGCAATGCAGACAGTGGGAGGGATGAGGCTACACCGATGAGGTGTTGGCTGGGGTGACATAGAAGAGTATAAGGGATGAGCCAGATCTGACAAGAAATGACAAGAGATACCTGTGTCACACACCCAGCACAGGCATTCATTGGCAGGCATATAACCAAGGTCATGACCCTTCCCTATATTAATTCAGGAAAGTCACACAAAGGAGAGTAGTGATCCAGGCCATAGGAATGAGGGCTTGATTTGGTGGTACTGCATGAAAAAGGTCAAGTTTCACCCGTCACCCCTTGTACAATTAAAAAATAAAAAAGTCAAATGCCACAGACCAGAAGATCAGGTTGCCAGGAAGCTCTTCAACCTCCTTGATGGGCACACATGTGGCCCTGTGGGTCATTCAGGAACTTGGGAGTAAATGGCCAGATGAGCAGGCTGGCTCTCTCTCTGGGTTTTTTCTACAAGAGCTCTGGTGCTGCCAGCTTCCCATCCCACCCAGATCCCCTGGGGAACCAGGGATGAGTACCAGCCTGGAAGCCCCTCCTCTGATGGCATCTGAGGGGCCCTGGCAAGATGCCTGGCCCCAGCAGCAGTCATCTGTTCTTTTTCTTTCTTTCTTTCTGGTCGTGCTGTGCGGCATTTGGGATCTTAGCTCCCTGACCAGGGGTCGAACCTGCACCTCCTGCATTGGAACTGGAGTCTTAACCACCAGACCACCAGGGAAGTCCCAAGTCATCTCTTGACAACATCCCCAGTCTTCCCCTCCCCACAGAGGCCAAGCATGGCTCAGGAGACTTTTGGTGAAGGAAGAAACAGGATGGATCTACCGTTCACTTCTCCTTGACCACTACTGGGAATGGCCCTCCTGTCTCTGGAGAAAGCAGAGGAAGGCTGAGCGGGGCTGCAGGCTGGCTCTGCCCGCTTCCCACATCAGCCTGGATCTCTCTGCTGGAGGCTAGGTCAACCCCAAGTCTCCCAATGAGGTCCTGCATGGACAAATACCTCCCTTATTTCTCTTCCCCAAATCCCTGAAGCCCATGATAGACCTCTACAAATTTGTGGTTTTTAATAAGACTCTAAACTATGCAGAGAAAAAAGTGTACTCACGGCTGAATGCAGCCACCCGGGGTTAAGGAGGGAGAAGGCTGTTATTCTAGCCCCTCCAGGAAGACATCTGGGCAGTGGGCAGAGCTCCAGGCCTGGAGAGGAAGATCTGAGGGTGATACCCAGCTCTGCCTTTCCCAGCTGGGTGTAACCCAGCAAGTCACCGAGCTCCCAAGTGTGCATCCACACCTGTGAAATGGGATTGATGACACCAGTAGCACTGGGCTGGGGTGAGTATTAGTATTTCAGGGCCTGTGGACAGAGCAGCTCAGTGTCAGCACTAGAGAAGGGGGACCTATACGACCCCATTCAAAGGCTAACATCCTTTCCCGGGAAACAGCTGAAGGAGGCTAGGGGAGAATTTCTCAAGGGCATTATCTTCTGTTCACCTGCAAAGAACAAGGGAACAGAGGTGACCAAAAGAGACTGGTGAGGAAGCCACATCCGGGGACAGCTGAGTGTGGGCAGGGGTGGGATACAAAGGGAAAAGACGCCCTGTAGCACCAGACACAGTCTAGAGCCTCATCTCTGCTGCAATGTCCACGCTGAAGGCCTCCAGCAATGCCAAGCAGGCCAGCAGCCTCGGCCTGAATATGTGACCTGAACATGTGTCCCACAGAAGTGGGGCACGGACGGTGTGACCCTCACTGGGGGCCTGCTCCCTGTCTACGGCTGCTTTCCAGCCTGGGGTCTTGTGATAATGCCCGCTCCCACCAGCCTGAAGCCACAGAATGGGCTACCCCCAGCCCTGCCCCCAAAGCACCACCACCAACATCCCCTACCTTCCTTGTGAGGGCAGCTGTACGGGTGCAGGCAAGAGGGAGAATTACAAAGAGGACACCAACACTGCAGGTGAGGGCCCGGCGCATCGACGTCCTAGCCGCAAAGTGTGGCGCCACCTATCGGCCACTTCTAGGTTCCTTTCCCATCTAGCACCTCAGACTTCCCAAGATCAGAGTGGAGGGCACCCGGGCCACAGAAAACAACTATCCTTTTAAGGAAATGAAACCTTTCCATCAGAGGAAGCCACCCAAAGAAAGAGGCAACAGCCACCAAGATTGACTCATTTTTATTTTTTATAAAATAAGCTACAAATAGTCTCCCTCCCTCCTCACAAAGGAAAACCACAGAACACAGCCTCCACATATGTGTGAGAGAGAAGATGCCCAGGGGAGAGTCTGACTTTCTACAAGGAGGTGCTTCCTCCTGGCCAGAGTAGGGGACTGGGGTCTCCTGGAAAGTCCATCCGGTTCCAGCACGCTGAGCTTTCTGGTCCAAACTAATGGGCTAGGGCTCCCCTTCCACCTTACCGTGTTGGGATGGGGCCTCCAGTCACCCTAACACAACCTCTGGGACTTTCACCCAGACAGCAAGAACCTTCTCCAGTCAGAGGATGGGATACTGGGATGGGGTACGAGATGCACGAGATGTGGCCAGATTTCCAAAAGCAATCCACAGGGCCACCAGTCCTGGGCTACTACCCACCCTCCCTCACTGCTGCCACGCCTGCTCATGGAAGGGGTGCTAAGTGCCACTGGTTGCCCTTTGATGACTGTCAGACAGGCATGGTCACCCGGGCAGAAGCAGCTGGCATCTGACCCGAAGGCTGCCCAGCACATTGGATTCCACATTGGAATCACAGTAAAACGTCTGTGGAAAGCTAGGCCTGGACTTCCGCATAGCTGGGTTATTATCTCTGCACTTCTAGGCGAGGCAGAAGTGGGAGGCCCAAGATGAGCTTTGCTCTGGAATTGGCCTCAAGCCTGGAAGCCTTTAAGAGTATTTAAGGGAACAGGAAGTTTTTTTTTTTTTAAAAAAAGGCTGAGTTTCCAACAAGGTGACCAACACAACTCTTCCCTCAGGCTTATGATGACCAGAGGATGGCAAGGGGAGATAGAGGACAGCGGAAGTAAAAGCCAAGTCTGACCTTGGCCCTGGGAGCTGTCTCGGGAAGCCTCATTCATGGGTTTGCAGGAGGTGAGAAGCCGCCTGTGGGTACTGCACTCACCAGGGCAGGCCTTCTGTCCTCTTCTGTCTGCTGCTCAGATACTAAACAGCTACTAAATAAAAGGCTCCTCTGTGTGTCTTTTCCTTCTTTCCCTCCCTTCTCATGCTTTACGTGGAGTAGATGCTAAACATGGGTGGAAATGTTTCAACTGACCCTAACGCAAATCCTTGGAGGACAATTTGCTCAGTGGGCCACCAGGACACTGTGCACCCACGGGGTCAGGGCCACCTGGGGATCCGGATGGCAGGAACACATGGGCACGGGAGCCCTCCCTTCAGGGGCCCCCTCACATTGTCCCACATCCAGCCTCCCTTGAGAAGGTCAACCGCCAAGTGACTTGCCAGCTCTGACAGCCACAGCAAGAGGCGGTGCCCTCCTCCCACTAAAAAAGAACTAATGGGGTCTGCGCTCTAACCACAGGGGTCGGTCTCCAAACAGAATCCAAGTGGGCTGGGGATGGAGTTCTGGGTTCCAGAAAGCTGGGCCGTGGGTCCAGAGCCCTCACAACCCAGAGCAGGAAAAGGGAGGGGAATAAACAGACAGCAGTGCCAATGGCTGTACAAAAGAACTATACAATTTACATATATATTTATATACAGTATATAAATCTCTTTCTTCTGAGTCCCAACAAGACCCTCACCCCCTCAGAACCCTAAAAGTTGTCAGTAGCAGATCCAAAACCTTAACAATAAAAGAGAACGAACGGTCTTTCTTCCCTTTCCTTTTCCCACCGTGGTTATTAGATATTGGTGTTTAAAAATGAAACCAAAAGGAAACACACAAGTAAGAGTTATTAAAAGTGCAAACACGGTGGGCACCACTCATGTTACATGGGATGTGGCTGGGCTGTGGGCAGCGTCCAAGGTCAGGTGTCTGGTGATCCATCCTGCCTCCCTGGTCTCTCCACCTGCCCTTTGGTTTTCTGCTCCTTAGATGAGGCGTCCTACTGAAGGGAGGTATAAGTGAGAAGTTAAGGTTGGGTTTACGCGCAATCCAGCTACACATGTCAATTTCCTCACCGGAGCAGGCTTTTCTACCTGCTGTTAAATACGGGGCTGGGTGGGACACAGGTAACCTGGATTTGCAGATAGGCCCATGTTTTACCAGCCCATCTTTGCCACCATGAGGCATCACAATGGCAACAAAATGAGGCTGCCATTCCAGAGAACTAGGTTTTGCCCAGTAAACACAGTTGGGGGGCGTGCACCCTGTACAAACCATCCTACTCCCAGATGCCAGCCTTTCAACCTGGGGCTGGGGCGGAAGTGGTAGGTGCTCGTTTATAGGTGGGAATGGTAGGATCCTTGTAGCACTAACTAATCTTTCTCTTGTGTCCTCAGCAAACAAATTGAACATGGGAGTCCAAGTAACTTGGCCAATCCCAACACTCCGCTGCACTACCGAAGCTGCATCAGGGGGCCCACAGAAAGGACCCCAGAAAGAAGGCAACTTACTGAATGGGTTTTTGCCTGATCATTTTCCCTGGGGGAAGATGCCAAGACTACCACCTGCCAAAACAGGAACTTAGGATGCTTGAGTGGCCTTGACCCAGAGAACTGGTAGGGCTTCTTGTATACCTGGGCCCCTGGCCCCTCTAGCCCCCAGAATGAAGAGGACACTTGGGGAAGAGCCAGAGATTGTGTGGCCAGCCTTCCTGTTCACCCAGGTAAACCCCTTGTCAGCCAACACCTTTAAACACAGCCCCTCTTCCCTAAGGCCGGGCCCCCTCATTAGCTGAGAGGGGCTTTAGTGCTGATGCACATTTGCATAACCTTCTCGGGTCCTGGCTCTCCCAGTCGCAGAAGGTCAGGTGGAAGGAATCTTAGCCATCATCTGGTCCAGCCCCTACACTTAACAAATCCAGAAACTGATGCTCAGAGCAGTTGAGGAGCTTAACGGAGGTCCAAGGCTTGTTCTGCACCCCATAGGGTGCCGATCGGTTTTGGCGGCTCTGCAGGGCCCAGGTCTCCTAAGGGAGGAGCAGGGAGCTGCGAGGCAGGCACACCACGAGCTGGGCCAGCTCCACGTGGGCCCTGGAGGCTGTGTGATTTTGTGCACAGCCCTTAACCCCTCTGGGTCAGTCTGTGGAGCAGGAATTAGGACCACAGCTGTGCTCCTTCTGCTGCGCCTCTCACAGGGTTGCCTTGAGGATCAACTGAATCCACGGAGAAAGGGCTTGGAGGGGAGCAAAGTGCTGTGGGGATACACGCCCACCCTCAGCTCAACCGCCCCCAAGTGACACTAACATTCCTTAAGACCTGAGAAAAATGACAGGACACAGGGTGGCATGGGGTGAGGGGTAGATACTGGTATATCCAATGTCACGGATGAGAAAACAAACTTGGAAAGATAGAGGGACAAGCCCAGGGCAGGCGGGTGGGAGGTGAGCCAGTTTGCCAGGCCCTGAATCCCATCTTTCATCTGCTCCAGCCAGCAGCTGCTTCTCTCAGCGGTGACAGGAAAGACCTACACGTACATAGGACCTCAAATAGTCCCACCCACCAGGCTGAGACTCAGGAGAGAAAACGTACAGCCAACGGTAACCAGCTCTCACCCTGAAGGCTTACCGCACTAATCCCTTTACCAAAATATCGCTTCATCCTCAGAGCAACTCTATATGGTTCTAATAAAACAATCAAATTATCCCCATTTTATGACGATGAAACTGAGGCTTGGAGATGGTGTAGCTTTTACGTGGTGAAGCAAACTCAGACCTGACTGTCTGCTTCCAGAATCATGCTCTTAACTACCAAGGAAGGCAGGGGAGAGAAAAGGTCCGAGCCTGGAGCAGGTGCCATCCTTGGGCAATTCACCGGGAGAGCTGGCAATTTTTTTCAATGGAAGAACTCGGCTCCAGCCTGCCTGCTTCACAGGGTGGTGACAGTAATCCTAATGATGGTGCTTTATATACTGGGAAGGGCCAGTTAAGAAAGACCAGCCCTCAGAACACTGTGCAGAGAATTCAGCTCCCCAGTGAGGAGTCTGGTTGGTAAAAATGCCTGTGTTCATGGGGCATTTCCCAAAAATTCAGTCCCTCACACCCAAAGCTACATTCACCCCCAAACTCTGTGCCCTCCCCACACCCGACTTCTGCCCCCAACTTGGTGTGCAAGCCCCTTTCAGCCCACCAGAGGGCACTGCACAACACCAAATGACCAACATACGCTCCATTCCCTACATACCATCTACCCGAGTGGCTTTTCTGCTGCTCCGCAGAGGGGAGGGACCCTGCGAAGCTGCCGGCAGCCTGGAGGTGCGTTACCCTACTACTCCTAATTTCTTTTGTGCATTCACCACTAACCACCTACTGAGCTAAGTTCTTCACAGGCACCAGCTTGTTAAACCTTCACACCAAATCTGTGAGGCAGACGCTATCATCTCCATTTTGCAGGTGAGGAAACTGAGGCTCAGAGAGTTTGGGTAGCTTGCTAAAGATTACAGAGCTAGTAAGTGTCAGGGCTGGATGCTTCCTTTGGGTTCTGTGCACCTGGTGCCCCACAAAGCTTCAGAGGACAGCCGGGAGGCCTCCTTGAGCTCGGTGGACCCGAGGTCACCACACTCAGCCTCCCCTTGGCCGCTGTGTGTTGCACGGACCTGAACTACCAGCACAGAAAGGGGGCTGAGGGCAGAGGGGCTACAGAGCTCTGTGATTCCAACCCCACTGAGCCCAGAAGTGCTCCTGGGTGGGCCTGGGGTCTATACTAACACTGGGTAGTCTCTTTCCAATACTGGCCCTCAGCCTGTGCTCTGAGAAATGGGCACAGGTTCCAAATGCCAAAGCGTAATGTCACCGTACAGGACAATCCCTCTCCTATCCCTTCATCATTTGACAAGGATCTAATGCACTGTTACTGGGCGCCGTGCACCGTGCACTCTGCCTGAGGTTAGAAATTGAGAAGGCACACCCACAGCTACAGGGGAGCTGCAGGGGAGAATCAGGAACGTGAACTGCAAACGCAGTGTGATAAGGCTTCCGACAGCGGCAATAATCTTATGAAGGAGGATAGTGATATTGAACTTCCACGGGGTTCCTTCGATGTCTCAGGCACTAGGACAACTGCTTTGACTCACTGTCCCAGTGAATCAGCACAACAGCCCTATGAGGTGGATATTATGATTATTTCCATCTTACCGATGAAAACACTGAAACCCGGGACGGCTGAGTAGTTTGTACTTGGGTGAAAGAACTAGTCTGTGGCTGAGGCAGGGTCCTGGGGACTCAGAGTCGTGGGAACACAGAGAGGCATCCTCATCAGACAGGGGTGCCCAGAGTGATGAGGTCACTCACGCGGGGCCACACGCCCCAGAACAAAGGCCAGAACCCAGTGATGGAGCGGGCAGGTCCCGAGACTGGGTACCTCATGGTAACTCAGCCACTTCCCCAGCTACCTTTTGGGTTTACACTGTCAAACAAGGGTTAGAACGAGGAAAAGCCCTTATGTCTCCTCCAAGGCAATCTCAGCATTTCTCAAGCTTCCATTTCAAATAAGTCAGCACCACCTGAATTGGTATCTTCAGCCCAGACCTTTCACCGGCACTACAGACCCTCTAATTCTTTGGGTGCATCCAACTTGACACGTCCAAGCCATCCTCGTCACCTTCCCTGTCCCCCTGCACCCGCTCGGCTCTTCCTCCCATGTTGCCCATCTCAGTGAATGGACCCACTGTCCAGTTGCCCAAACCAGCCTTCATCCCTCTATGCACTCAGTCACCAAGGCCTGCAGGTCTACCTAGTCACCTCTACCCACTACTCTGCATCTCCTACTGGGGGATGGCCTCCATCACTTCCTGTCTGGACAGCCACAGCCTCCTACTGGGGACTCTGCCTCGCTTATCCCCAGTCCATTTCCCACAATGCACCAGAATAATTTTTAAGCAAAACTGATGCTCTTGTTTCTCTGACTGAATCCCTTCAACAGCTTCCCCACTGCCCTTGTATAGCTGAAACTCTCTCACCTTGCCTCCTACCCCTTCCCCTCCCCTTCCATCTTCGAAGATCTTTCTGCTTGGCCACCTCTTACTCATTGCTCAGGGATTGCTGTAGAGCAGGGGCAGAAAACTTATCTGTAAAGGACTAGCTGCTAAGTATTTTAGCTTTGGTGGTCAGGTACGATATACAATAGTCTCGGTTGTATATTCTTCATTTTTGAAAATTACATCCCTTTAAAAATAGAAAAACCACTCAGCCCACAGTCTGTACAGACACAGGCCGTGGACTAGATTGGGCCCGTGGGCCACGGCTGGCTGACCCCTGGTCTAGACATCACCTCCTTCCCAAAGTTTTCCAAGCCCGTCTGCCCCTGAGCTGACGGGGGTGCCCTGCGTAGGTTCCTACAATACTCTGCACTTGCTCCACTGTGACAGAGATCATTAGGTGCCCACCAGAGTTCACGCTGTCCTCCTCTCCCTGGGTTCCCAGCCTTCCTTACTGTGGGGTGTGGTCTAGTGACTGAGTTCAAGCCAGTGAAATAGGAGAGGTGATGTGTGTCACTTCCAGCACTGGCCCGTCAAGCCCCCATCACAGGCACTGCCCTGGATGCTACATAATAAAGATGGCAGAGTCATTCTCAGCCTGAAGCTCAGTGACTGCACACGAAGCAATCCCCACTCCTATTCCTTCCCCTGCATACACCACACACACATACACACACACTCACTCACACACACTCACACACACTCACACACACACACACTCCTAGGCCCTGGAATCGTGGTGAACTATTATATGGGCAAGATGAACTAATATCCACTGTGTTGAGCTGAGCCATTACATGTGTGGTTCTACTTGTCACTGCAGCCTGGCCTATCCTAATACACCCTCATAGCACTTACCACAGGGTATGTAAATACTTTAGTATCTGTCTCCTCCATAGACTGTGGAAGGATAGGGACCTTATCCATCCATTCCTCCACTATATCAGGCGTCTAGCATGAAGCATAACACACTCCCAGTAAGTAGCTGAATAAACACGCACCTGGGACCTCATCTACTGGGGGAGCCCTTGGCCCCCGGGCCCGGGCGGGGCAAGTCCTCGCGGGCCAGGAGCATAGGCGAGCACTCACCTTCTTTGCTGACACCCAGGCAGCCCTTCAGCTCGGCAAGTGAGATGACCTTGTCCTTGTTCAGGTCACAGTAGTCAGTGAAACGCCGGGCGCATTTCTTGGGCTTGGCTTTCTTCTTCACGTAGCGCTTGAAGGGCTTCATTTCCCTCTTGTTAATGTCGTCGCTGCTGTTGCTGTCCAGCTGGCTGAAATACCAGTGCACCACTCGCTCCTCCAGGGTGTGGCTGGGGTCTGGCTCCGAGAACCTGGGCCACGGGCAGACAGCCCCATCCCCAAGCACACCGCTCAGGATCCCGCAGGAGCCACCAGCCCAGCCTCAGTTCTCCCCCACGTGCTCAGATGCCAGGGCTGCCGGCAGCCAGGCAGAAACAGCTTATCCGAGCCCAAGCCCTCCCGGCCCCAATGAGCCTGCAGCCGAATCAAGCCATCCTTTCCAACTTTGAGCCACAAGACTGGACAGTTCGTTCTTCGGGGGTCCCCAAGTAGGTGAGCCCGCCACCCCCTCCGCCATAGCCAGCAACGTTCTCGTACAAGACGGATGCTCAAGACATACTGGCTGGACGTAATTCACCTGAGAAACCACAGGGATCCAAACTGTCCTCCTCCGAGCCTAGTGTTGCTGCCACACAAGCTGCCCGTTACACATGAACCTGGCATCCAAACGAACATGACTATGGGAAAGGGCGCCCAGAGCCTGCACCACCCACCCAGTGCCAGTCCAGGTCCTGGGAGGGCTTCCAAAGCAGGAGGCAGAGCCCCTGGCTTCAAACTGCTGTCTTGGCGAAACAGAGCCCAAAAAGTGAAACCGAGCAGCAACAGGTCAGTGTGAAGTTCCCGTGGGCGTCCCTGTCAGGTATCAAGTGCGGTAAGAATTGAGGAAAGAAGGCAATTGAGATGGACGCAAACAGAGGTTCTACAGCTGGCAAGTCCAGACCTACTAAGCGTGAGTCTGTCCACATAGAGGTTTTAAGACAGGAGGCCCAGGGTGGACCCAGGAAGCCACATGTTAACTAGAACCCCCAGGAGATTCTGCTAAGAAGCACTGGGCTAGAGTAACCAAGAAAGCTTCCCGGTGTCGAGATGCACAGCGGTGACCGCATCTAACACAGCCCACGTATGCGTGGTGACCGTAACGTGACAAGAGCAATGCCTACACACGTAATGTACACAAGGCCCACCCATCAGTTTCATTTACTCACGCCTCATCTTTTCCCAGAAAGGATTCAGGGTGCTAGCTGAAACTTTTGAAGCCAATGATACGTCTCTTCTAGAGGGGGTGACTAGGGTCTCTGGCCAGGAGAACAGAGTCACACGAGTCCCATGGTTCCTGCTGCCAGGGCTTGGCACGGAGTGAATGTGGTCCAGGCCCTTTTGTTTAAAGCCCTGGGTAACTTTCCCTTGGTTGGGGGACTAAGGCTGAGGTTGGGAGGTCCACACATTCAAATACTTAGTGTGCAGGGCACTGGGACAGACTACGTGACAACCATGGGTGAGAAGCATGGGCAGAGGGGCTCGCTGTCACACAGGGATCCTACACCAGGGATTCAGCGCCTGCCAGCACACTCTGAAGCTGTACCTGGCAAGAAAAATATTCAAGGCACTTCCCAGTGCCTTGGGGTTCTTCTCTAGCGTTTGCCGAGTTTTCCGGGAGGGAGGGGACCATCCCTGACACCTCCGCTATGAATGAGCCAGCAAACACCCTCCGCTACCCCATCCCCCAAGTGGCCTCACCATTTAGGGAAAAAGATGTTTCATTACCAAAAAAAAAGCCAGGCATCCCTGTTGAATGACCACTCCTAATTAAGTGGATTGCAGTCTTGGGCAGGTCCCCCTGGGCACCCTGGACCAATTCCAAGAAAGCACAATTAGTGGATCTGCCAGCAGGACCTCATCTTGGCAGGTCTGGCGCAGGGAGCACCTGGGGAAGGTTTGAGGGACCGTCTGCTTCTGGCCCTTGGGGAGTCTGCTAGGTCTGTCATAGAAACCAGGCTTGGAAGGGCTTTCAAACAGGCATGGCTCAGACTGTTGTCTCTGCCAGTACGTGGTACTTTGGTGGTTTTAAGCTTCCTCTATTTTCACTGCAACATTCACTCTCGAGCCTGCAGGGTATAGCAGGCGGGCCCCAGAAAATTCTCTATCAGGATGCTCGTGGAGCAGCAAGGGAGGGTGGCCAGCTCCCCCGCAGGGCACCCCGCCTGCCCTCGCCTTCCCCTACACGCGAGGGAGGACGCAGCTGCGGGAGGGACCCAGGGGAGATGCTCCAGCTATTCCCACCCAGGCTTTCTAAGGCGGCCAGGGGAGGGCCTTCCCCCTCGGCCCCTCCCGTGAGGGGGCCACGAGAATCCCCCGCGAAGGCAGCTCTTCCTTTAACCTTTAGGCTCAGCATAGCGTAATGTCTACCTAGAGGCTGGAATAATAAAGCCTCACTTGCTGAGACGGGAAGGGATGAGGTCATCCCGCCTAGACGCCCAGCCAGGCGTCCAACACGCTCGCTGCCTCCAACACGTGTTCCTGGGCTCCCGCCTGCCGGCCCAGTTCTCAGCGACTCTGTTGCTGGAGCTCCCCGCACCTTCCTTAGGGCTAGGCTGCAGCAAGAAGCAGCTCTTCTCCTGCGCTACAACCTCTAAGAGCTTCCTCTTATGCCAGAGAGTGACTGTCATCTGGGGGCTGCTCCGTTTTCCCTCCCTTCCCTGCCTCCTTGTCTGGAGAACCGTGTTCCTGCCGTCCTCACTCCCAGCAGGAGCTCCCCAGCCCAGAGCGCCCACGTCTTCTGCCTGCTACCCCCCGTATGTCCCCCGTACCCCGCAGCCGAGGACACGTCCCAGGAGACGTCCCCCGAGGACCCTGCGAGCAGCAGCCTGCCCTGTGGGCCTGAGGCGCCTGCCTCGCCCCGCCCCCATCCCCAGCTGGTGTAAGGCACTCTGCTTCTGAAATCCTTTGACTTCCAGAATCCCATGCTGCCCCCTCCCCAAACATCAGAGCCTAGCTAGGCAGCGCTAGGGTCCTACTTTGGAAGCCAAGGCTTTGTCTAGGCCAAGCGCCAAGTACATTTAAGGCAAGAATTTCTTAGCAAGGGTGCGGGGCGGGGTGGGGGTGGGATCATGGACCCTCAGAAAACGTAAACAAAGCCCTGGTCCCTCTCTCTAAAATGCACATGCACCCAGAACTCTGCAGATTTTAGGGGTTTAATGGACTCCCTAAACCTCATCCAAGGTCACGGACTCAAGTTAAGAACCCTCGTCTAGAGGGAAGGAGACTCCAGCCATGACCCCAGAAGAATAAGTCTGAACCTTCTGGAGGAAGATCGGGTGAGACAAAAGACAGTAACTGGGAGGGGGTTGGGGGTAGTTTTCATGCTTCCAACAAAGCATACTAGAAAAAAGAAAACTACTGAAGGCATCTGCCTCAAAACGCTGAAAATGAGGTTTCTGGCTTCACAGCGGCCTCAAGTCCCCAAACTACCGTGCTCCATGCAAGAACTGGTTAAGCCTGACATCTCTCAGGAGTCCTGATTTAGCCAAACCAGCGGTGGGCACGTGTGAAAGAACACACGAGAAGCCTCTGTTAACTAAGGAGAAGCTAAGGCTTTCCCAGGGGAGTGTTGGATGGGGTGGGGCAAGAGGGCCTCCCTGAGTCTCCAGGAACCTCTCAAGCAGTCTGTGCTGGAGTCCTTTCCATCACAGCTGGACTCCTCACAATTTACCCCTGACCTCAAAGCCACAGCCCACTGAGCCCTCCAGCTCTTACAGCTTTCTAGGAGTATCCTTCAAAAACACTGGCAACTTGCACTCCCAGTTCTAGGGTTACACTGGCATCAGACTCCCGGCCTCTCTCTCACACATGCGCACAGAATTGGGATCAGAACCGCTGGAATTCAAAGCTGCTCATCAGGCCAGGGCTGGGGACCCTACGTTAGAGAGTGTGATGCCCAGGTCCTTGCTATGGGCCTCCCTACAGGTACAATTCCACTTCCATTAAAAGGGCTTATTGGGTGTGTATAGGATCCAAGTTTCCTCGGATATGGTGTGGAGAGACACGGTGCAATGTTGGCGTCAGCCCCGCCTCTGGGCTGTTTTGGTGGCCGTCCTGTTGCCTCCCGTCTCCAGGGATGAGGAAAACCACTAGAGCCAGGTCCCTCCCTGGACTGGCTGGGCCCCACCGAGTCTTCTCCCAAATTAAGAGGCGGCAGGTGCCACCCTTCCCCTGCAGCCCTCTCAGTGTCGCTTCTGCAGCTTCAGCCCGCCGGGCCTTGGCTGCAACGAACAGCTGGAGAGTCAGCCCCTTCTACCACAAGGAAACTGGCGCTGGCCACGATCTTGGGCCCAATTCCGCTGTCCCAAGCAGTTTTAAACAAGGTGAGGTGGGATGGCCCGGAGGCACGGGCCAAGCCAAGCAAGCCAGCTGAGCCCCATCTGGAGCCGGGTCCAGGCCCCACCAGCTGTGCGGGTGGGTAGAGTTGGGAAATGCCAAGTCAGCCGCATTCCAGCCTCCTCCTTGCAAGAACATCAACAAGTCACCGCACTGGGCAGGAAGGAGGAAGCCTCAAGACCCACGGTCTCTTCTTGCAGGGCCACGGGTGGGGCAGCGAGGCTCACACGGCCCAGCCCAGCTCCTCTCAACGTTGACTTTTTCTAGGGTGGAGTGGAGAAAGGAGAGGGTTCCCCTGCTCTAGAAGGCTCTGCCAGCTAGGATCTCAGAACTCTCCCTTTGGGACTGATAAATGCTGATGGGAAGAGGCTGATTTAGCCAGTGGGGTGAGGGGACGGGGGCAGAACTCTGCCTTCTGGAGCGGGAAGGGCCAAGAGCATAATTCAGGGCTTCCCTGGTGGCGCAGTGGTTGAGAGTCCGCCTGCCGATGCAGGGGACGCGGGTTTATTCCTGTCTTCTCCCTTGTGTGCTATTGTACCTACAACTCCAGGCTGAAAGGAAACACCTTCCAGAAATTGGCAGTTCTCAGAAGAGAGGAGATCAGGTCGACTTGGACAGCCAAAAAAACCATCTTCGTGGTAAAATACTGCACTTTACTTCTAACTAAAAAAAAAAAAAAAGAGCATAATTCAATGATCTAGCAGCCCTTCACTGAGAACAGCCCTCATCTAATGATACCTGCAGGCCACCCCCTCCCAGGCACTAGCCACAAATGTTTCCATGGATACCCCATTCTACTTTGCCTATTTTTAGATTTGGGCAGCACTGCTTTCCCCCTAAATCAGGCTAGAAGACCAGAAAAGGAAGTAGATATCTCCCTCTTCCACTCCCTACATCTAGCAAGCCTTCAAATCCTATTGATTTCATGACTAAAGCTCCAGTAAATCATCCCGTCCGCCACAGCTTTAGTCCACATTCTCACCACCTTTCCCTCTGGTGTGGGCTGTAACCTTCCTGCCCCATTTAGCTCCCCTCCCCCCGTCTGGCTTCCACAGGAATGCCCATCTAGTCACATGC